TTTTCACTTTCAATTATTAAGTCAGGTCCATCCCCTTCCTATAAAAAAATTCATAGGTTATTAAAAAAAACCAGGACCCCTCCTGAGAATACTATAAACCACAATTTCATGATCTCCATGCAGCCTTCATCACTTATGACTCACATGTGCAAGTGAAGTGATGTGTGTGTATGTGAGACAGAAGCATGTGTGTTCAAAGGCTGTGCCAATGATCAGTTAACGTGTATTGAATGTGTTAGATATGATCCTGTGATTAAGACGTGTTTGAGATTGGTCTGCGTGTGGTCTGGATGTGTTAGGTGTGAGTAATAGTGGTTTGTAGCAAGTGCAAGAGCAAGGGATATGGGTCATCATAATCTTGTACTTACAATATCACTGTTGCTGCTGCAGACGCTACTGTATTATCCCAAAATCCATGTGAAGTGGCTGCAAATGAGCAATGGTTTCCAGTGCGCTTGTATTCATAGTTAGTTCAGGGGACACAGCAAACACTATAAACATAAGTACCCACGCTTGCCTGTCTTGTGATTTCCCTCCGGGTTGTGTGACTTCGATACATTTCTCTTGGTATGAGTGTTGAGCTCCACAGTTACATTGCTATGAAATCGACCCCAACACAAATCCAAAGCCCAGCTTGGTTTGTCTATTTCTTTATCTAATGAGCAATTTGTTATTCCATGGCATCCAGTCTCCCCTCTTTCCAGATTAATGTTCATCAGTAGTTTGGAAATATTCTCGTAGGTGGTGGCGGCAAAAGAAAGCCTCAAGGTCACCACAAAATTGAATCCAGTTAGTGGGGAAGGTGGGGCAGAAACAACAGCAACTACCTCAACCCACCGGATAATATTGTTAACCTCTCTAGCTACAAACTCAACCCAGCAGAAGAGTCTGTCTTATCCCGGGGGCTTCTTTCTGCCCCACCTCCCCCACTAACTGGATTCAATTTTGTGGTGACCTTGAGGCTTTCTTTCGCCACCTCCGCATACAAGAATATTTCCAAACTACCGATGAACATCAATCTAACCAACCAGATTCCCCCAATCAACACCAAAAGAAAAACAATTCTATATGGACTCCCCCTGACGGTCGGAATTACAATCTGGATTTCTATATACAATGCTTCTGCAACAATGCACAGACTGACATTATTCACAAACAACAAGCGACATACAATCTGAGTCGCGCTGAACACTATGCCATCCAGAGTCTAAAAAACAACCTGGACATTATAATCAAACCAGCTGACAAAGCGGGTGCTGTGGTCATTATGAATAAATCTGACTATGACCAGGAGGCAACTGGACAACTCTCCAACACCACATTTTACAAACCTCTCTCCTCTGATCCTACTTCAGAATACCAAAAGAAACTACATTGTCTCCTTAAAAAACTCCCTACTCGGGACCAAATCCACACAGACACACCTTGCCTACGTGTACACTGGCATGATTTTCCGGAAATGCTTTTAACGGAAAAGTTTTCCGTTAAAAGCATTTTTGGAAAAGCGCGTGTAGATTGGCAGGACACTTTTCCACAAAAGCACTTTTTGCGGAAAAGCGTCCGTGGCCAATATAGACGCGCTTTTCCGCAAAAAAGCCCCGATCGCCATTTTATCCATCGGGGCTTTTTTGTGGAAAACAGCACTGTGCTGTCTACACTGGCCCTTTTGCGCAAATGATTTGTGCAAGAGGGCTTTTGCCCGAACAGGAGCAGCATAGTATTTCCACAAGAACACTGACGATCTTACATGAGATCGTCAAGTGTTCTTGCGGAAATTCAAGCGGCCAGTGTAGACAGCTGGCAAGTTTTTCCGCAAAAGCAGATGATTTTGCGGAAAAACTTGCCAGTCTAGACACAGTCCCTTCTGAACCCCAACCAGGATTGTTCTATCTGCTTCCCAAAATCCATAAACCTGGACACCCCAGATGCCCCATCATCTCAGGTATCGGCACGCTCACTACTGGATTATCCAGCTATGTAGACTCTCGTCTCAAACCCTACGCAACCAACACTCCCACCTATCTCCGAGATACTACTGACTTCCTAGAAAACTACAAAACATCGATAACCTCCCTGATGACGCCATCCTTGTTACCATGGATGTAGAAGCTCTCTACACCAACATCCCACATGAAGACGGATTACAAGCAATTAGAAACACTATCCCAGAGAATACCACTGCCAGTCTGGTAGCAGACCTGTGTAACTTTATTCTCACCCACAATTACTTCCAATTTGGGGACAACTTATACCTCCAGATCAGCGGCACAGCCATGGGTACCCGCATGGCCCCACAGTACGCGAACATCTTTATGGCTGACTTAGAACAACGTTTCCTCAGATCCCGTCCCCTTTTACTTCTTCTCTACTTACGCTACATCGATGACATCTTTATGATCTGGACCCATGGCCAAGAAACACTGGATGCATTCCACAGAGATTTTAACAACCTACGCCCCACCATCAATCTCAGCCTGGACCATTGTACACGAGAGATCCATTTCCTGGACACCATAGTACAAATCACCAATGTAAATTAGACACCACACTCTACAGAAAACCCACTGACTTCTACAGTTACCTACATGCCTCCAGCTCCCATCCAGGACACACCATACGATCCATCATCTATAGCCAAGCCCTTAGATACAATTGCATCTTCTCTAATCCCACTGACAGAGACCAGAAACTTCAGGATTTCTACCAAGCATTTATAAACCTCAATTACCCACCCAGAGAAATAAAAAAAACTAATTGAAAGAGCCAGACGAATACCCAGAAACCATCTACTTCAAGACAGACCCAAGAAAACCAACAATAGAACACCACTTGTCATCACCTATAGCCTCTAACTTAAACCCGTCCAACGCATTATTAATAAACTACAACCTATACTGGAACAGGATACTACCCTCCGAGAGGCTCTGGGAGACAGACCCATAGTCTCCTATAGACAACCACCTAACCTCAGGATGATTCTTACCTACAACTACAGGACATACCACACTAATACCAACCCTGGAACTTTCCCTGGCAACAAACCCCGGTGCCAGCTTTGTCCACATATATACTCTGCTGACACCATTATTGGACCTAACCATGCCTATTACAAGATCAAGAACACATATTCCTGTTCATCCAGAAATATAATTTATGACATCATGTGCCTAAAGTGTCCGTCTGCTATGTACATTGGACAAACTTCTCAGACACTTCGCCAAAGAATCAATGCACATAAAACAGACATCAGGCTCTCTCACAGAGAGAAAGCTGTTGCTTGCCATTTCATCCAGACTGACTATTCTCTCAATGACCTTAAAACATGCATATTGCTTCAAAGAGACTTTAACTCCAGACTTCAAAGAGAAGATTCAGAATTGTCATTCATGCTTAAATTTGACACTTTATGTAGGGGTCTAAACAAAGACTCTAATTATCTCACCCAGAACAAAGATAGCTTCCCCAATTATCACCCCAATGTCATTACCTCACAGAAACTTCCCCTATTATCACCCCTAATGTTATTACCTCACAGATACTAACCTTCCCCCCTCACTTCCACTCTGTTCTAAAATTTGAGTTGTCAATTTCACATGCGTTCATTTTTTTTATTGTATCACTTTGGTATAAATAGTTGTGCCAATTTTCTTCACAAATTGATTGGAGAAAGTGGATCTGGCCCACTAAAGCTCATCACCTAATAAACCATCTTGTTAGTCTTTAAAGTGCTACATCGTTCTGTCTTTTGTTTCAGCTTGACCAGACTAACACGGCTGCATCTCTATTACTTAAGATGGTAGATATCACAAAAAGCACACGACATGCATGGGGTTAATTCCTGCCATAAGTGGCCAGTCATCTCTAGAGCTGCTGCGATTACAGTGAGGGGAAAGCCATCTGAGGGCATGTCTGTAAAACAGGGCTAAGCTTGAAATAAGCTATGCGACTTGAGCTACACCATTTGCTTATTTCAAATTTGGGCCCATCTACACAGCACTTATTTCGAGGTGGAGCACTCTTCCTCTGACTTCCCTTTTTCCTCATACAATGAGGTTTACAGAGTAAGAAGCATGAAGTCAGAGTAAGAAGCACGTTATTTCGAATTTATTTCAAAATAACGGGCTTGCTATGTAGATGCACACTATGTTATTTTGGAATGAGAGAAACGTCCGTTATTCCAAAATAATGCTAGTGTGTAGACATGCCCTGAAGGAGTCTGACTGTCTGCAAGCTGGGACAAACCCTTCGGGGCCAATAGGAATTCTGAGGGATGTGGAGAAGAGATGGATGAATGTTGATTAATCTAATTGGCAGCCTCCTTTGACCAGAGCTAATGGAGTGCTTTCATCAGAGCCGTAAATGCCAGAGCTGTAACAGGGGCAGGTTGATGATGAAAAGAGTGGTTGGAGGGGTTCTTAGCATAAACCAGCAGCAAGGAATGAGTGAATTAGAGGAAAGGTCTCTGCAGCCTAATATACAAATGATGTGCTTAGGAACAGGTACCACATTGACAGCCCTGGAAATTAAAGCCCTTTTTTCTCCTCAGTTCAGCCTTCCCTCATTCTGCTCTGCCAAAAACCCCTCACTCCAGACCCAACCGGATCTTCTGTGTGGGCAGGAGGGGAAATCAGACTCTCTAGACCGGTGATTCCAACAAAGTTGCCAAACATGATGTGGCCAATTGCGCAGTAGCAAATGAGCTGAAACAACCAGCTCATTTCACATAGGCTGTGCCATAGCCATTTAACATCTTCTCTTCCAGCAAGACAGGCCAGGCTGGGAAAAATCCTCTTTCATGTCTTAGGAACTTTTGGCAGGGAACACCTGCACTGTTTTCTAACATGGACTCACAAGAGACCACTTGGCATAAACTTGTGTTCAAGGTACAGAGTCCCCTCCCAAAACAAAGAGCCACTGCCCAATAGCCCATCACATACACCTCCTTGTAGGAAATGGACTTCCCAGCTTAGCCCCACCTTAGCCCCAGCTCAATTACTCACCCAGAAAACAGCTGCTCCTAATTTTGCTGAGTGGCACTGCTTCCTAACAGCACTGCTTGCAGAAGGAGCAAAGATCGTACAATACCTTTCTTGGCCTGGGAAATGTCACCATAACATTGCAAGAGACACAGCTTACTGGAGGACAAGCTGAGAGAAGTGGCAATCACAGTCTGTAGGGTTTTGTCCCCGTGGCTTTGGAAGCAGATCCGTCTGCATATTCAGTGACTAGAACTCAGAGAAGCCTAAATGGATGGAACACACAGGAGGCATTTGAGGGATGAATAATTCATAGCCTTGTTCAGCTGCCAATATCTCCAGTTTGTTTTGTTGTTTTTTTATGCCCACACGGTGCTTGATTTTTGTTTTAACAGTAATGGGAGATGTCTGTGCTTCCTTTGATGGTTCTTGAGGGCAAGCGATAAGCAGCACCTGCACTACTCACACCAGCTTTTTTTAATAACCTTGCTCACAGCATCTTCATTAACACAACACTTGGTTTTTTTCCAACAGCTCAGTCCACTAGCAGCTTTCTGAGGATCCCTGCTGACACCTGGTTTATTGTAACCTTGCTACAATGCTGGCCTGAACTTTACAGTTCAGCTGAACAAAGGACAGCAGGATCACATTTGGAGCCCCAGGCAGCAGCTTACATTGCAGAAATGCTGACATGGATAACTTTAAGCAATCAACCATATCTCTGTCCCTCCCCAGCTGACAGGGATCCATGAGAATCACCCAGTCCCCATCTACAAATTCAGCTGGACAATGCAGTCCAGCTGTGCAATGTAAAATGAATTGTTAACTAAAGAAGTATCCATGGGGTACCAGAGAGGTTGGGAAGTTAAGGGATGTCACAGTCTCAATTTGGGCAGGATTTCCCCCAGTAGTAGGAGTGAACAATGTCAGAGCCAAAGATCCTTTGAAGGAACCACTCAGAATGAGCCCCAAAGGGACAGCTGACAATCCAAGGAAGAATGGAGAATTGGGTCCATGTGAATTAAGGATGTTAGAAAACATTCATTTTTGTAAACATGTAACTGCAGAATTTTTCAGCGGTTATATGTTTGCACACGGGGGGGAGGGCAGTTTAAAAGCTGGCTTTCCACATGTACCAACTCCTGCCTGCCTCCACATCTCCCCCATGCTCATGCTATTTGGGGAGGGTGAACCCAGGCTTATCAGTTAATTGTGTAAATGACTACACACTAACATGCCTAATGTGAATTGCATATACTGTATTCCACATGGAGATATTAGGGGAATTGCCTAATTATGGACAGAGTGATAATATAAGATAAAGCAGGCCATGAAATATTGAAGTACCAGGAGCAATTAATGAAAACTGGTCCACATTGGGGTAACAAATGCTTGAACTGCTGCAGGTTGTACCAATCAGATCATCTCTCATTTTAGATGCACAATGCACACTACAGCTCTACCAAGCATTCCACATAAGCACCACAGGGGTTGTGGATTGTTACACTGCTGTCAAGCAGTGCTGCCTGGCACCTAAAGTTGATGGTGATCATCCACCATGCTAATTTACACCCACTCTGCAACTAGTGTAAATGACTACATAAGACACAGAGCTCTGGTGAATTGAGCCCAATAGACTTATACTACTGTCAAACTGGAGAAACACAATAGTGAATCAAGCATTGATATTATGCATCAACTCTTTTGCTGAGCCAGGAACAGAATCTAGATCTTCTGACATACCTCTGTGCTTTATCCTCAAGCTATTCCATTTGTCACCTGCTGTTTTCCTTCAGACCCTAGCTACTGTTTGCTGGGCTTATTTTTATTGGCTCTGACTTCACCTGTTTGTGATGTATTAACATTATGATGTGGTATGATTACCACACTATGTTTAAGCAACTAATTATGAGTGACCAGAACAATGTGATGCAAAAACAGAGAAAGAAAACCAGAGGCAGCATGGTCCAGTGGGTAGGGCATGGGACTGGAACTCAGGAAACCAGAGTTCTATTGAGTGCCCTGCCACTGACCTGCAGCGTAACCTTGAGCAAGTCACTTCAACTCTGTGCCTCTGTTTTCCCCTTTATCTGTCATTTCATCTTTTTAGATTCTAAGTGCCACGGATGCAGGACCACCTGCACCTCACACCCCTTCTCTGGTCTCTGAGTACTCCTCCCCCCACACACACACGTCTTAGGTCTCGGGCCTTTACCTTTCCTAAGCTGGAATCCCATGATTCTGATACTGCTTACTCCCAACAGATCTGACTGGGATTGGCTCGTACGGGTCTTCCCTTCAGGAGCTTGTGAAAAAATAGCATTTTTTAAAACCAAAGTGTTGTCTGATCTGAACAGTAGGAACAAAGGTAACATAAAATGAGAGTTTAAATAATAGCAGAGTAACATGCATGTGTCTCTTTTACCTAAAAGCTTTATGATCCCCTGGGTGCTTAGGAAGGCATAACTCTTTCAGAACCCCAAGGAGATATTTTTTGTTTGTTCTCCACACACAGCTCCCTGACAAGCGCCTCATCTGGGCTCAGAGCCTTACATTTTTACTGTGCATTGCTTACCAATGCTAGGACCCAAAAGATCAATCTGCTTAACTGGGCTAGCACTAAGGAAGTCAATAATTCATCTATTATTACTGAGAAGTCCCTGGTCCTTCACAGTAAGATCCTTGGACCACAGATGCTTACTAATTTCTTGTAAAGCACCTAGCACAAAGGGGATCCCAATCTCAGTTGCAGCCTTTAGATCACTGGTTTCAAATTCCCAGCCCATGGGTCAGTCTTGGCGGGAGTGAATGCACAAACCAGCCCGGGACTCCCGGCAGGCCTGAGGAGCCTGTTCGTTATCAGCCCCAAAGCCCCATTCCTTCCTGCCATTGCCCTGCCCTCTGCCCCACAGTACCCCAGACCGCCATCACCCAGCTTTGGAGATCACCAGGGAGGGTCTGGTGCTGCATAGCGGTAGTGGTCACACCCCGCCCGGCACTCCCTGTGGTGGCAGGAGCCATGGGGAAGCAGAGCACAGTGGGCAGCACTTAGGGTTGCCAGGTGTCCAGTTTTCACCCGAACAGTCTGGTATTTGCGGACTCTGTCCGGAAAAAAAAAACAGGAAATACCAGACACGTGCAATGTCCGGTATTTCCTGTTTCCCTGGGATGGAAGCCCGGTGAGGACAATTTTCCCCTGCCGCGTCTGGTGGAGGCAGGGGAGTGAGGAGCACGGCAGAGTCTAGAGAAGGGGGGCAAGAGAGGGCACTTGCCAGGCACCATGCCAGGGGGGCCCCGAGCTGGGCTGGGAGCGGAGCGCATGCTGCTCTGGCCCACATGACCAGCAGAGACCGGGAGCTGGCCACGTGATATCTCCCTCTCTCCACAATGCAAGCCAAGGCAGCCGGGCCAGGTGGCAGGAGCGGTCGCTTTAAATGTCAAATTGTTCCTCCGTGCCTGGCTCTGCAGGGGGGAGGGGGAAATTTGATTGGTATGGGGCTCCCGACACTGGGGATGCCTGCCTCAGGGGGAGGGGGAGTGCACTGGGATGGGAGGTACTAGGGGGGCCTGGGTCTGAGGCACGGGTGAGTGCACTGGGATGGAGGGGCACTAGGTGGGCCTGGCTCTGAGGCAGGGGTGAGTGCATAGGGATGGGGGATGCTGCAGGGGCCTGGCTCAGGGGGAGGGGGAGGTGCCAAACTGAAAGGAATGGTGAAACTTCTCCCCCCCCCCCCTTTTTTTTTCCTTGACAGAATTTTTTCTGGGTAGGGTTGGTTTTTTTTGGCAGGGGAAGGGGTGTTCGGTATTTTTTGTTAAACCATCTGGCAACCCTAGCAGCACTTCCTGTCTCTCAGGGTACGGCACCCCTTCTGGTGGCAGCAGGAAGTCAGTATGCACACCAGAGATTGTCAGGCAGCCTAGTCTGCAACTGCACAATGGCCTAAATAGCGGTTTTAATACTTCAGTGGTGTGAGCAAACCACCAGCCAGCTGATCACTCAGGCCTCCTGGAGAGGAGTGAACAACAGTCTGGGCTACGGCCCTCTGAGTGAGGGCTGAGCAATTAAATAGTCTATATTGCCAATCTCAAGATAAGGCTGGGGTAGAGGGATCTGGGCCCACCCTGCTCCACCAGGTCCCAGCCCAGGGCCCTAGACATGGCAGGCTGTCCCAGCTGGGTTAGCAGGGAAACATGCAGCAGCTGCCACACATCCTGGGCTAATTCCTATTGCACTGTTGCTGCTGAGACCTGGCTTTTAGTGCTGAAGTCAGAGGGCTATTATTGCAGGCTCTCTGCAGGGCCTTCTGTCTCCTGGGGCAGTGGTTTGCCTTTATTTTCTGCTCCCAATCATGGGTTTGGTTGAGGGCTTAGCTCCCTGGGAAGGATATCTGTCTCCTTCCCTAACTGGCCCAAAGAGCTGGACTGCAGGACCCTGTTCTTGTACCTCATGCCCTGCCCCTGGCACTTCCTCCACAGGGGCATGGTGAGGTTAGATGCAGGGGAGAGCAGGAGGGGAAAAGAGTGGCGTTAACCCCTGCTGTGCTAGAGAGAGGCCACTCTCCCTCCCTACACCAAGTAATAAACAATAAATCCTTGCTAAAAATCAGCACAAAGCTCTCCTGTAATAACTCAGTAGTTTTCCCAACAGTTGTCTGTTGCCCCTATTATATTGTCCGAAGGAATATAAAACCCAACCAAAAGGCGACTGAGATGACAGTTAATATGTGATGGGTGATGTTGTCTTAAGTTACCGAGTAGAAATTGTATAGAAGTAGTCCCTTGTAGTCCAAGTCCCATTGTACTAGGCACGGTGCATACATATCGTTACAGGATATCATGACCATCCAAGGGCCTGTCTACACATGGAGGCTACGTCTACACTGGGACTCTTTTCTGGAAATGCTTAAAACGGAACAGTTTTCTGTTATATGTATTTCTGGAAAAAGCGCGTCTACATTGGCAGGATGCTTTTCCGGAAACAGTGCTTTTCCGGAAAAGCGTCCGTGGCCAATGTAGACGCGCTTTTCCGGAAAAAAGCCCCAATCGTCATTTTCGCGATTGGGGCTTTTTTGCAGAAAAGACTGCTGTGCTGTCTACACTGGCTCTTTTCCGAAACAGTTTTTCCGGAAAAGGACTTTTGCCCGAACGGGAGCAGCATAGTTTTTCCGGAAAAACACTGACAATTTTACAGTAGATCGTCATTGCTTTTCCGGAAAAGCAAGCGGCCAGTATAGACAGCTGGCAAGTTATTCCGGAAAGTGGCAGTGGCCGTGTCAGTACCCCAGGAGTCACCCCCAAGGCGGAATGTTCCTGACACCTATTTCAGAATAAGACTGCCTTGTCTGTGCATTAATCTAAACAGGAACAAGGCACTTTTAGTGTGGAAAAAGATTATCCAGGGCATGGAGTTAAATCCAGAGGTGAAAGTAAGTGGGTGCACTCTGGTATGCAGCACCAGAAAGAGCTGGCTGAACTGCAGCAAAAGCCAGCAGGGAGCTATTTAAAGAGCTGGCAGAGACCCGGATTGCAATAGGACAGTACCTGTAAGAAATTATAAGTTACTTTTCATTGCTGGTTAAATCAGGAACATTCCATGGGCAGGCAAACACTAAGTATCAGAATACATACAGCTGGATCCTACAAAAGAACAGCCACACTGGGTCAGACCAAAGGTCCATCTAGCCCAGTATCCTGTCTTCCAACAGTGGTCAATGCCAGATGCCCCAGAGGGAGTGAACAGAACAGGAAATCATCAAATGATCTCTCTCCTCTCATCCATTTCCAGCCTCTGACAAACAGGCTAGGGACATCATTCCTACCCATCCTTACTAATAGCCATTGATTAACCCAACCTTCATGAATTTATCTAGTTCTTTTTGGACCTTGTTAAAGTCCTGGTCTTCACAACATTCTCTGGCAAAGAGTTCCACAGATTGACTGTGCACTGTATGAAGAAAAATGTCCTTTTTTTTTTTACACCTGCTACCTATTAAACTTCCTTCTGTTTGTGCATTAATCTAAACAGAAACAAGGCTCTCTTATTGTGGAAAAAAATTGTCCATGCATGGAATTAAATCCAGCCTATTTAATTTAGGATTTAAATTCAATGCAATTTGTGTGGCTAACTCCCTTAGGTTCCTTCAAAACCTTCAGCTTTAATTTATACAGTGGCGCTCTAAAAAGTATTCCGATGAATGCAGATTAAATTACTAAGGATCCTCAAAAAAACATCTCACCACGATTTATACAATAACTAATAAGCATAAAAACATTTAATTAAATCAATATGCCATGGGAATTAGAGAGACAGAGTTGGCACCCATTTCATACTTACTCAGATAGATTTAAATCTAATTAAGCTTATCTTTCAGAAATAATATTGCTATTATAATAAGATTGTGTTAGTAGATCAGATATGGAAAAGGCCTTTCAATTATAACTGGGTTAGCTTTAGTTTATATTGTTATATATTTTATAATGCTTTTAAAAATGTCATTTGTATATTAATTTCATTTTACATATATTGTCTCAGTTGGCCACAGTGTTTTGTATTTAACTTCATTAGGTTGAGATGCAGAGAAAGCATGTAAAACTGTGCTTCCCAAAACAATGAGACTATTGTGACCATTTTTAGATAGATGTGTCTTTTAGTCCATAATTAATTTTGTAAAAATTCAGGAGAAAGAACATGTGAACAGAAAGCTTGCAGTTATTCAGAACTCCTTCAATATGCAAATCCATCCTCTATGTTTGGGAATGTACTTTTCACTCTTATGGAAAATGCACTGTACATTAAACCTCTCTAATCTGACATCCTTGGGACCTAACTGGTGCCAAACCGAGAATCTGCCAAACCACAGGAGGTCAATATTGTCTAGCAGCGTTACCAATGCTTCCACTGCTTACTAGGCTCTGAGAAAACATTTAGGGGTAAATTAGAGCTAAATAACAACACAAAACACTTAGAGCCAGGAGTGGTGGCTGTAAACAAACTTTATGGGACTGCAGGAAACTTGGCCACACCCATGAAGAGTGGACATCCAGCTAAGTAAAATCATGCTAGAACAAAAGTGTCGCTGGATCAGAGCGTATCAGATTAGAGAGGTTCCACCTGTACTGTACTTAAACTAATGGCTATGGCTCCAATTCATTCACTTAATTTTGTTTAAAGGTGAAGTAGGTTTTAGCTGTGGAAACAGTTCCTGTACACACAAATAGCCTAGAGTTCCTGACTGTCAGTTTTTTGATACACCATACAGAAGAAAAACTTACAAAAAATTTAGATCAACGTTTTCAAAAGTGAACAGCTATTTTGGGTGCCTTGGGCCTGATGTTCAGCTGACTTAAGCCACTGTGCATTGCTCAACACTTCTGAAAATCAGATCCAACACATCTCAATTTATACACCCAAATTCAGGAACTAGTGTTGATAGTTTTGGCCATAAGATGGATTTACATAAGAACATAAGAATGGCCGTACTGGGTCAGACCAAAGGTCCATCTAGCCCAGTATCCTGTCTACCGACAGTGGCCAGCACCAGATGCCCCAGAGAGGGTACACCAAAGACAATGATCAAGCGATTTGTCTCCTGCCATCTCTCTCCAGCCTCTGACCAAACAGAGGCCAAGGACACCATTTTATCCCCTGGCTAATAGCCTTTTATGGACCTAACCTCCATGAAATTATCTAGCTTTTCTTTAAACTCTTTTATAGTCCTAGCCTTCACAGCCTCCTCTGGCAAGGAGTTCCACAGGTTGACTACACGCTGTGTGAAGAAGAACTTTCTTTTATTAGTTTTAAACCTGCTCCCCATTAATTTCATTTGGTGTCCTCTAGTTCTTCTATTATGGGAACTAATAAATAACTTTTCTTTATCAGCCCTCTCCACACCACTCATGATTTTACAGACTTCTATCATATCCCCCCTCAGTCTCCTCTTTTCTAAACTGAAAAGTCCCAGTCGCTTTAACCTCTCCTCATATGGAACCCGTTCCAAACCCCTACTCATTTTAGTTGCCTTTTTCTGAACCCTTTCCAAAGGCCAA